GGATCCTGGTGAGTGGAGGGAGCTATTTGATCCACCATCAGGTGCAATGGTGGAGCCAGGGGGTGGACAATGGTGGAGCCCTGCAAAATTGCAGCTAGTGCTTCCTGTACTGTCAGGTTTCTCCTCATGGTCATCTGCTGGACAACAACCGGCCAGACGAAGCTGCAAACTACTCTTGCAGACTTTAAAACAGGCGCCTGCGTAAACATGTTCATTCAACCTTTATTTATACAGGTTGGGTTAATCCCATTGAGCCTCGGGGACTCATTTACAAGTTTTACAACTCATTTACAACTGGATACACCACGTATCCAGTTGAAGTAAGAAGGCGTTCTCTTGATCAAGAAAAAAAAAACCCAGTCCATTTGGCCTTTGGCGACTCAAATTTCACACCCGCGTCCACACGTACACAAAATATGTTCTCAGCAACATTCATGCTGCTCTTTTATGTTAATTGCAACACACCAAGACCATTTTTTGAACCATTCAGCTATTTTACCTCCATGATTTTTGCAAGATAAGAACAAGGCCTCCAACGAATCTCTATGCAAAGAAGGTCTGAAGCCCTTGGGGGTTTAGGGAGGGTCATCACAACTAAAACCCGTTTTCCTTTATTTTGAAGGTAGAGGCTTAAGATTTATTAGGTATTCATGATACTCATGATACTCATGATATTCATGATACTCATGATACTCATGATACTCATGATACTCATGATATTCATGAACTCGGGCATGGGAGGAGTTCGGAGAGAACAACTTCCGCACGGCTTCTAGGCGATTCTGGTCCACCATCCAGCGTCTCAGGGGGGGAAAGCGGTACGCCACCAACACTGTTTATAGTGGGAGTGGTGTGCTGCTGACCTCAACTCAGGATGTTGTGGGTCGGTGGGCGGAATACTTTGAAGACCTCCTCAATCCCACCGGCACGTCTTCCACTGAGAAAGCGGAACCTGGGGACTCTGGGTCGGGCCCTCCAATCTCTGGTGCTGAGGTCACCGAGGTGTTTAAAAAGCTCCTCTGTGGCAGGGCCCCAGGGGTGGATGAGATTCGCCCACAGTTCCTTAAGGCTCTGGATGTTGTAGGGTTGTGTTGGCTTACGCGACTCTGCAATATTGCGTGGACATCGGGGGAAGTTCCCCTGGATTGGCAGACCGGGGTGGTGGTCTCCCTATTCAAAAAGGGGGACCGTAGAGTGTGTTCCAACTACAGGGGAATCACGCTCTTAAGCCTCCCTGGTAAGGTCTATTCGGGGGTTCTGGAGAGGAGGGTCCGTCGGATAGTCGAACCTCGGATTCAGGAGGAGCAGTGCGGTTTTCGTCCTGGCCATGGAACACTGGACCAGCTCTACACTCTCAGCAGGGTCCTGGAGGGTGCGTGGGAGTTTGCCCAACCAGTCTACATGTGCTTTGTGGACTTGGAGAAGGCGTTCGCCCGCGTCCCTCGGGGGGCCCTGTGGGGGGTACTCTGGGAGTATGGGGTACCGGGCCCTTTGATACGGGCTGTTAGGTCCCTGTATGACCGGTGTCAGAGCCTGGTCCGCATCGCCGGCAGTAAGTCGGGCTTGTTCCCGGTGAGAGTTGGACTCCGCCAAGGTTGCCCTTTGTCACCGATTCTGTTCATAACTTTTATGGACAGAATTTCTAGGTGCAGCCAAGGTGTTGAGGGGATCCGTTTTGGTGGCCTTAAGATTGCTTCTCTGTTTTTTGCAGATGATGTGGTCTTATTGGCTTCATCAGATCGTGATCTACAGCTTTCGCTGGAGCGGTTCACAGCCGAATGCGACACGGCCGGGATGAAGATCAGTTCCTCCAAATCCGAGGCCATGGTTTTGAGCCGGAAAAGGGTAGAGTGCCCTCTCCGGGTCAGGGAGGAGGTCCTACCCCAAGTGGAGGAGTTCAAGTATCTTGGGGTCTTGTTCACGAATGAGGGAAAAATGGAGCGAGAGATCGATAGGCGGATAGGTGCAGCGTCTGCAGTGAAGCGGGCGCTGTACAGGTCTGTCGTGGTGAAGAGAGAGCTGAGTCAAAAGGCAAAGCTCTCAATTTACCGATCGATCTACGTTCCCACCCTCATCTATGGTCACGAGCTTTGGGTTGTGACCGAAAGAACGAGATCTCGGATACAAGCAGCCGAAATGAGTTTTCTCCGCAGGGTGTCTGGACTCTCCCTTAGAGACAGGGTGAGAAGCTCGATCATCCGGGAGAGACTCAGAGTAGAGCCGCTGCTTCTCCACGTCGAGAGGAGCCAGTTGAGGTGGCTTGGGCATCTGTTTAGGATGCCTTCTGGACACCTCCCTGGTGAGGTGTTCCGGACACGTCCCACCGGAAGAAGGCCCAGAGGAAGACCCAGGACACGCTGGAGGGACTATGTTTCTCGGCTGGCCTGGGAACGCCTCAGGATTCCCCCAGAAGAGCTGGCCCAAGTGGCTGGGGAGAGGGAAGTCTGGGCCTCCCTACTTAGGCTGCTACCCCCGCGACCCGACCCCGGATAAGCGGAAGAAAATGGATGGATGGAGGTATTCATGATAAAAGCATTATTATGTCAAGATTACAATGCATCAAAAATGTGTGATAATAAAGGGAGTCAATAGGACCAAATCAGGTCTTAGGCTGAGGAGTGTTTGTGCTGATCTCCTATTCCAGTGGTTCCCAAGTACCTTGATCCTTAAGGAGCACCATCCTGCATGTTTTAGTTGTTTCTCTGATCCAACACCCCTGATTCTGTGGTTTAATTACTTCCTTTAGTTAGGCAGAAGCCTGTTAATCACACTTTCATTCAAATCAGGTGTGTTGGAGCAGAGGAACAACTAAAACACGCAGGGTGGCGTTCCTCAGGGACCTGGGTTGGGAAGTACTGTGACATACATCTTGCAATAGAGGGGATCATGACATTTAAAAATAATATTAAAAAAGAAATCCTGGCCATGTTTAATGAAATTAGTATTTAAACTGACTCATGTATTAAAAAAACAAACAAAAAAACAAATAAGCACAATATAAACATTTGGTGGCTATTTTAGGAGATAATGCTTTTTTTAAAATCATGTGATGTGCTTCATTTGAGTTATGGTAGTCTGAAACCTAAAAGTTACAAGACTTCAAACCTTTTCAAGAGCCCAAAATTTTGCATATATATTTTTTTTACTTTAAAATCATTCAAAACAAAACTCTTTCACTAAAAAAAGATTGATTCAGGTTTATACCTTTTAATTTGCTGTTTACTCACAATTCAGTTTACAAGATTTGTCCTTAACTTTTTATTCATGGTAGTTTATTAACAAATATGCTTAGGAAAAGTACAATTAAGTCTAAATGTAAGCAGTATTGCCCCCTGTGGTAGAAATGTTGTCCTTCCCTTCAGCTGGTGTGAAACAAAGTACCCACTGGGTGTCACCACAGAACAACACAAATCTGTCAGGGCAAGTTTAAAAAGAAACATCTACAACCTGCGAGTGGGACTGTAATGTGACTTTAAGTGATATTAGTAAAACAAAAAGCTTAATATGAAATTTTGAAATTAGATTGGTCAGTAAAAGTCAACAATGATCTTTAATGTATTTTATTGTATCTCCTGCAGAGTTGCTCTCCCTAGTTTTAAACCTAGTTCTTCCACAGAAGACCTGGAATAATTATATACACCAGATCTAATAGTCTATTTTATATAACATATGCTGTAATCACAGTAAATGCAACAGATTCACAATTTTATTCATTTTCATGCTGTTTTTGCTCGGCAGGTTTTTGTGCTTTTGCTAAAAGAAGTTTTATAAAACTTGCAGGATAATAATTGTTGGATGCTCATGAGAAACTTATTCTCTATTAGAGATGACCAGATTCAAGATGGCTGCAAAATTAAACTGATATATGTCGATTAAAAGTATTCCTCTGACAATTACCATTAACTACTTGGAGTTAATGCTGTCTGTCTGCAAAACCTTATGTATCACTGAGCAGATTTTAATAAAACTTTCAGGAAATCTTGCGTGTTAGTAGCTGAGAGTCATTCACATCACACAGCATTGTGCACAATGTTAATTTCACAAAATGGCTACAACGTTTTCATCTTTCAACATAAACATGAAAAAAGGCCATTAATTTGAATATTAGAAGGTTGAAAAAAATGCCATATTGTTTATTTCTTTAAGACTTTAAAAAAAAAAAATTGCGAGGCAATTTTACATTTATCAATATGCTGTACGCACACTAATATATATATATATATATATAAATATATATATATATATAAATAAATATATATATATATA